CCTCCCACTCCCCCAAAGCCTCCACAGTCCAACCTCCTGCTTGAACAACCCCCAAAAATCACACCTTCCGGACACCCCCCTGTCCCAGCAGTCCTTTTATTTCAAAAAGGGCTTTTTTTTTAACCATTTCTCACTTAAATAAAAATAAAAAGCTCTAAGTCTCTGGTTCAGGTGCCTCAGAACTGCATGGCCGCCTCCAGCGTCTCCGAGAGCTTCGTGGCGATCTTCTCTGCAGGATTGAGGGGGGATCAGCAACTTTGGGGGACACTGGGGGGGTTTGAGGGGTGAGGAAAACGGGGTGTCTTCACCCACCTGCTCTTTTTTGCAGCTTTTTCCTCCTTTTCCTGGCCGCCCTCAGCCCCTGGCCCTGGAGCAGGGGGGGCAGAGCAGCCACCTCCTCCAAGCTGGGGGCGCGGGGCACAGAGTCCCCCCCACAGCCCCCCGACTTCACCCGGGGCTTCAGCTCCACCGTCACCGCGCCGAGCTGGGGGGGAGCGTCAAAATTAACCCATCACCCCCCCAAAAAACCCCCACCTCCGAGAACTCCTCCCCACCTCCGAGAACTCCTTCCCACCTCCAGGTCCTTCCCGCTGTCGTCCTCCATGGCTGCTCCTTCCTCCTCCTCCTCCTCCTCGGGGGCACACGGGGACAGCCCCAGCCCTGTCACCGTCACTGGCACAGCTGGGGGGGGGCAGGTGAGTTTTTGGGGGGTCTCTGAGGGGTTCACAGGGGCGGGGGGGTCGTTGCTCACCTGCCAGAGCCTCGGCGTCCCCCCGTTCCAGAGCCTCCAGGTCCAGCTCCGGCCCCAGCGCCGGCAGGATTTGGGCCTCCAGCTGCACCCCCTGGGCCTCGGGGGGGTGGGTGTAGTAGGAGATCTTCCCACTGCGCCAGAGGGGGGTCAGGGGCGGGGACCCCAAAAAAAGAGGTCACAGGGTGTGAGAGACACCTCCCCCAACCTCCCAAAACGGGGGTCAGGGTACGGGGAGACACCCCCACAGCCGGACCTGAGAATGGGGGTCAGGGTGTGGGGCAGCCCCCCCAGAGCCCCCCGGCCCTCGCCCACCTGGTCCAGTCGCGCAGCAGGGCCACGGCGGCGGCGTGGGGGTCCGGGAGCCCCCCGGGGCGGAGCCGGCCCTGCCGCCGGGCCAGGTGGGACAGGAACTGCAGGGGGTCTGCGCAGGGGGGGACCCCGTAGAGCTCACCCAGCTGGGGGGGACACACGGGGGGGCTTATCACCCCCCAACCCCTTCCTTGGGGCCCAAAGGGGGTAAAAGTGCCCCCCCTAAAATAACCCACGGGGGGAAAGGGGTCCCCGCATCCCCCTGTCCCCAAACCCACGGCTGAGCCCCCCAAGGGGGTCCCCTGCCCGGGGGTCCCCACGCACCTGCTGGGGGGGGCAGCGGCGCAGGATGGCCACGGCCGGGCTCAGGGGGTCCCGCAGGCGCTGGGGGGCCAGGGCCCCCCTCAGGGGGGTGGCGGCCGGGGGGTCCCCCGAGTCCAGGACCACCCCGGGACAGTCCAGGAGCTGGATGTGCCGGTCCAGCTGCACGGCCTGGAGGCACCTGAGGGGGGAAAGGGGGGCTTCAGGTGCCACAGCCCCTCCCCTGGGCGGGGCTTTACCTGCCACAGCCCCCCCCCCGTTTGGGGCCACCCCGGGGTCCCCCCCCCGCCCCCCCCATTTGGGGCTCACCTTGTGACCCCCGGGGCCGCCCCCAGGCCCCCCCCCCCCCGTTTGGGGCTAACCTGGTACCCCTGGGTTCGCCCCCAGCCCCCCCCGTTTGGGGCTACCTGGTGACCCCGGGGTCGCCCCCCAGCCCCCCCCCCGTTTGGGGCTCACCTGGTGACCCCCGGGGTCGCCCCCACCCCGCAGACGCGGCTGCGCTTGAGGCTGTTGATGAGGCTGCTCTTGCCCACGTTGGGGTACCCTGGGGGGAGAAAAGGGGTCGGGGGGTCCCCAAAAATCCAACCCCCCCAGCCCCACTCACCGCCCACATTGGGGTACCCCGGGGAAGGTGTGGGGGGGAGGGCTTGGGGGGGGTCCCCAAAATTACCACCCCTCACCCAATCCTTCACAGTCCCACGCACGTTGGGGTACCCTTGTGGGGGGGGGCAGCAGTCAAGGGAGGGGATACAAACCCCCAAAATCCAACCCCTCCCCCCTTCACAGCCCCTCCCCCTTCACAGCCCCCTGCTCCCCCCCAGCCCCCACTTTTACAGCCCCCTACTCATCTCCCCCCCCAGCTCCATTTACTCCCCAGTTCCCCCCATTTGCAGCCCCCCCCCCCTCCAGCCTCTCTCCCACCCCCAGGCCCCCCCTCACCCACGACCCCCACGGTGAGGGTGGTCTTGGCCCCCCCGCAGCGGCTGTAGTTGCCCAGGACGTGCAGGAGACACTCGGCGCCCACACAGGCCCCCCCCGCCAGCACCTCCTCGGGGGCCGTGGCCACGGGCAGCCTGCTCTGTTTCTGGGGGGGCACAGGGGGGTCAGGGGGGTCCTCTTGCCATGAGACCCCCCCTCGAAGCCCCCCCAGACCCACCAGGTTCCGGCTCTGCTGCTGAGTGCAGGCCTTGAAGGCCACGGTGGGGAACTCGGCCCGGAGGTGCTTCAGCCACGCGGCCACCACGTCCCTGGGCACCAGGTCTGGGGGGCACAGAGACACTGGGGGGTCCCTCGAGGCCTGCGGGACCCCCAGGACCCCTCGGCTCCCTCCCCCCACCCCGTACCGATCTTGTTGAGCACGAGCACGAGGCGCTGCCGGGGCCGCAGGGCACCCTCGAGCCGGGGGCTGCGGCAGCCCTGGGGGTCCCGCGCGTCCAGCACCTCCAGCACCACGTCAGCCGCCGTCAGCACCTGGGGGGGGGTCAGGGCTGGGAGACCTCCCAGAGCCCCCCCAAAAACCCCCCGACACCCCCCAAACACGGCACCGACCTTGCGCAGCTCCCGCCCGAAGTGTCGCAGCGACGCCTCGTCCTGGGGGGGCTGCGGGGACTGGGGGGGCTCCTCCTGCTCCTCCTGCGGGAACCTGGGTTAGGGAGACCCCCGTCCTGGGGGAGACACCCCCCCTTGGGGAGACCCCCCCGATTTCTGGGGGGACACCCCTTCTCTGGGGAGCTCCTTGTCTCCGGGGACCCCCCCACTCTTAGCAGAGACCCTCGACTCTGAAGGGAGTCCCCACTTCTCAGGGAGACCCCCCCTCTCAGGGGAGCCCCTTGTGCTCTGGGGAGACCCCCCCCTTCTCCAGGGAGCCCACCCCTCTCAGGGGAGCCCATTGTGCTCTGGGGAGACCCCCCCCCTTCTCCAGGGAGCCCACCCCTCTCAGGGGAGCCCCCCACCCTGGAGATCCCCCCCAGGTGCCCCCACCCCACCTTTGTCTGGAAGCGCCGCTGCCGCCTCAGCGCGTCCCCCTGGAGCTCGGCCAGGCCCCGGCGCTGCCCCAGGAGCCCCCCCCGGGCCCCCTCCCGGCGCCGCTGGGCCTCCAGAGCCTGTGGGAACCCCAAAATCCCCCCCGGGGTCAGAACGGGGAGGGGACACCCCAAAATACCCCCTCCCACTGCCAGAACCGGGGGAACACCAAAATCCCCACCACGGGTGAGAAGAGGGAGAATCCCAAAATTCCTTCTCAGGAGTCAGACCTGGGGCGTCAGACACCCCAAAATCCCCCCCGGGTCAGACCTGGGGGGTCACACAACCCAAAATCCCCCCCGGGTCAGACCTGGGGGGTCACACACCCCAAAATCCCCCCTCCAGATCAGACCCAGGGGGTTTGCACACACCAAAATCCTTCCCCAGGGTCAGACCTTGGGGGACAACCCTGAAATCCCCCCCGGGGTCAGACCTGCAGAGGGAACCCCAAAATTCCCCCCCGGCGTCGGAATGGGGGGTAACCCAACCCTGGGGGACCGACAGCCCCAAAGCCCCCCCGCAGCAGGCCCAGCCCCGGGGGTCACCCCACGCCCCCCCGGTTCTCACCCTGCCCTGCCGGGTCTCGCTCTGGCTCTGCCCGGGCGCGGCGAAGCGGCCGAGCTGCGGCACCCCCGGGTCCTTCTTCAGCCCCTTCGCTCCCGCGGCCCGTCGGGCCTGGGGTCACACGGGGTGGGGGGTCACTCGGGGTGGGGGGTCACTCGGGAGGTCACTCGGGGTGGGGGGTCACACGGGGGCTGCACCCCCAAACCCGGGCTCGGGGGGTCCCGGCACCCCGCGGTCCCGGCTCGGGGCTCACCTGGACGCGCTTTTTCCGCGCCGCCTCCACTTGTCGCCCTGCGGGGAGGAAGGGGGTGAGTTGAGGGGGTCGCCTAAATCGCCCGGGACCCCCCAGGAACCCCCCGTCCCCCCCGGACTCACGGGAGCGGGTCATGGCTGCGGCCCCTCACGCTGCCGGGGATCTCTGGCGCTTGGTGATGACGTCACTTGTGATGCGACGACACGCACGTGATGCTCCGCCACACTCAACATGGCGGACGCGCCGCCAACGCCACACCCAACATGGCCGCCCCCACAATTACCCGCCCAACATGGCCGCCAGGGCCACGCCCAACATGGCGGAACGGCCCGAGACACCCCTGCATTGCCACGCCCAACGCGGCGGCCTCGCCCCGCCCCCGCCACACCCTTTAGTGCCACACCCAACGTGGCAGCCCCGCCCTCGCCACACCCAACACGGCGCCCTCCCGCCCCCTCCCCCCAAGAACGAGCAGAGCGGCCCTTACCAAGAGTGCACTTTTTTATTCCTTTTTTTTTTAACTTTTTCTCTCAGTTTTGGGGTGGGGGAGGGGCCGAACCTCTTATTTATAATTCGGGGCGGTTTCCCCCCCTTTTCACCATCCCCGCCCCTCCCCCAACCCCCAGCATGGGGGACTGGGGGAGTGAAGTGGGGGGGAGGAAGAGAGGGGGGGACCCCCCAACCCCCCCAAACAGAGCAAAAACCCCCCCAAAAACCGGGACTGGGGAGGGGGGAAAAAATAACCCCGAAAAAAACAAAACAAACCAAAAAAAGCCAACGGAACCAAAAAATATATATATATTTATAGAGCCCCCGGGGGGGTCGGGGGCCCCCCATGGCCAGGTTGGAGACCCCGGGGGGGTCACATCCCCCCTTAGGCCAGGCTGGAGAACCCAGGGAGGGTCAAGGGTCCCCCCAGGCCAGGCTGGAGCCCAACTAGGGCAGCCCAAAGCCCCCCCCAGAGGGTTCAGACCTCCCCCAGTCCAGCCCAAATCCCCCAGGGGTGGGTTGGGACCCCCCCAGGCCAGGCCTAAGCCCCCTAGGCCAGCCCAAAGCCCTCGGAGCACTCCTGGATGGCCAAGAGCAGCATGTGCCGCAGCTTCTCGTAGCTCTCGTAGGCCGGCAGGTCCAGCTGGTTGAAGCTGGGGGGGACACGGGGGTCACACAGGGGCAGGGGACACGCACAGGGGTCACACGGGGGGCAGGGGACACACAAAGGGGTCACACGGGGGACAGGGGACACACAAAGGGGTCACACGGGGGACAGGGGACACACAAAGGGGTCACACGGGGGACAGGGGACACACAAGGGGGTCACACGGGGGGCAGGGGACACACACAGGGGTCACACGGGGGGCAGGGGACACGTACAGGGGTCACACGGGGCCCCTGACATTGTCTCACCCACCCCCCCCCCGAGGGTCACTGTGCCCCCAGGGCAGTGTCTGTGCCACCCTGGTGTCACCTCCCTGTGCATCCCTGTGTCCCCATCCCACCCAGTGACCCAGCCTGGTGTCCCTGTCCCCCAGTGCCATCTCCTCTGCCTGTCCTGGTGTCCCTGTGTCCCCTCACCTGTGTCCCCCATCTCCTCCTGGTGCCACCTCCTGCTGTCCCCTCCCACCTCCCCATGTCCCCCCCATGTCCCCCTGTCCTGTCCCCACGTGTGGGCCGAGGGCAGGTGGTCAGTGTCCCCCTGCCCCCCCGTGTGTCCCCCCTGTGCCCCCCATGCCCTCACCACGTGTGGGCCGAGGGCAGTCTGTCCGTGGACCGGTCGTCCCGGTGGATCTGGAACTTCTGGATGCCGTTCATGCCCTCGAGGGCAGCGAATCCCTGCAGGGGCACCTTGGACGTGCCCGTCACGAACTGCAGGAACTTGGCGCGGTCGGCCTGGTCGAAGGAGCGCAGGGCCCGCCAGAACCACTGGATCTGGGGGGGGGCACGGTCAGACCCCCGGGATCACCCCCAGAACCACCCCGGGGGGACAAACCCGCCTGGACGGGGCTGCCCTGGTACCTCCTGTACCATGAGACCCCCGAAACTACCCCGAAATCACCCCAGGAAGGGGGGCTGGGAGCCAGTCCCACCTGGGCGGGGCTGCCCTGGTACCTGTGGTACCATGAGACCCCCAGAGCCCCCCGGAGGGGGTTGGGGGCCAGTCCCACCTGGATGGAGTTGCCCTGGTACCTGTGGTACCATGAGACCCCCAGAGCCCCCCGGAGGGGGTTGGGGGCCAGTCCCACCTGGATGGAGTTGCCCTGGTACTTGTGGTACTCGGTGTTGGCCTTGAGGTCGTCGATGTCGATGGTGGGCAGCCCCGAGATGAGCAGCTCCAGCTCCTGCTCCGTGAAGATGGAGATGAGGCGCTTGGGGATGATCTCGTAGAAGCCCTCCAGGAACGCCGCCAGCTGCTTCCGGATGGCCCCTGCACGGGAGGGGGTCGGGGGGCAGGGAGGGGGAATGACCCCCCAGACCACGGGAATGGTGATGTCACTTTGGTCAGGAGGGACCTGGGGATCCCCCCACGATTTGGAATTATCAAAGCTTTAAACATAAGGACTAATAATGAATTGTATTAGAATATATTATAAATGGATACTAGTATATATTATAAATAGATATTAGTATATATTATATATTAGTATATACTATAAATATATTGGTATATATCATAAATAGATATTAGTATATATTATAAATGGATACTAGTATATATCACAAATAGATATTAGTATATATTATAAATATATAAACAATAATGAAATTATAACAATAAAATTATCTTAATGTATATTAACATTATCATGTTATAGCCATAGTATACATATTATATATTATTGTAATACATCATATAACATTAATATATAATAGATATTAATTATACCTACTAATATATTAGTGTATATTAATTATATATACTAATTAATATATATTACATACTGCAGTATATTTTATTACTAATACTATTAAGATTTATTTTATAATTGACATTATAACAAACTGACATTTCCACTTTATATTTTTTAGCAAAGAAAGCTACAAGTTATGCCTTTCTCTTCATCCATCTGTAATTACACCAGCAATTTAAAAATAACTACTAATGCTATTTTGATAACTTTTAGTATTAAAAATAATTATATTAATATAATATTAATTAATAATTTTAAGAGCGACATCTTCACTACTTACACAGTTTAGCAAACAGGAGACCCCCCCCGCGCTGGTCACGGGCATCTCCTCTGTCATGAGCCCCCCCCGACCCTCCTGTGCCCCCGGGCCCCCCCAGACCCCCCCGGGCCCCCCCTCACCGGTCATGCGCATCTGGCACACGAGGTGCACGTATTCCTTCTTGTTCTCCTCCGTCACCAGCACGTTGGCCCCGTTGGGCTTCAGGTCCCGCACCTCACACACCCCGAATTCCTGCACCTGGGGGGGCACGGGGGGGACAGCCCTGAACCTCAAACACCCCATCCCTGAACCTCACACACCCCGAATTCCTGCACCTGGGGGGCACGGGGGGGACAGCCCTGAACCTCAAACACCCCCAATTCCTGCCCTGGGGGGGACAGCCCTGAACCTCACACACCCCCAATTCCTGAACCTCACACACCCCCAATTCCTGCCCTGGGGGGACAGCCCTGAACCTCACACACCCCCAATTCCTGCACCTGGGGGGGCATGGGGGGGACAGCCCTGAACCTCAAACACCCCATCCCTGAACCTCACACACCCCCAATTCCTGCATGGGGGGCACGGGGGGGCACAGGGGGGACATCCCTGAACCTCAAACAGCCCGAATTCCTGCACCTGGGGGGACAGCCCTGAACCTCACACACCCCCAATTCCTGCACCTGGGGGGGCACAGGGGGGACATCCCTGAACCTCAGACAGCCCGAATTCCTGCCCTGGGGAGGCCTGGGGGGGGCACAGGGCTAGGGGGGTACAGGGGGGACATCCCTGAACCTCACACACCCCGAATTCCTGCACCTGGGGGGGCACAGGGGGGACATCCCTGAACCTCAGACACCCCCAATTCCTGCCCTGGGGGGCACGGGGGGGGCACAGGGGTGCAGGACAGGTCACCAGGATGGGGGGGTCACCCCCGGGGTGTGCAGAGTGAGGGGACACCCCCAAGACCAGGAGAAAGGGGACACCTCTGGAGCAGGGGAGACCCTCCCGGGATGGAGGGACACCCCAAACCTGGGGGGACACCCCTGGGACACAGGGGACACCCCAGGAAGGGAGGGGAGGGGACCCTCGGGAGGACACAGGGGACCCCCCAGGAACAGCCCAGGGGAGCTGGGGGTCCCCAGTGTCAGTTTGGGGGTCCCCAGTGTCAGTTTTGGGGGTCCCCGATGCCGTTTTGGGGGTCCCTGTGCCGTGGGGGGTCCCGGGGGGTCCCGGGGGGGTCCCCACCTCGGTGCTGAAGGTGAGGTCGTAGCCCAGGGTGGACACGTCGTTCTCCAGCAGGTAAACGAGGCCCTGGTAGAAGTGATAATCCTCACTCTCCATGTCCGTGTACCTGGGGGGAAACGGGGGCAGCGCCCCAAAAACGGGGTCAGCACCACAGGAAGGGGTCAGCACCCCAAAAAAGGGGATCAGCACCCCAAAAAAAGGGGTTTAACACCCTGTGCAGGGGTTTCAACAGCCAAAAAAAGGGGTTTCAGGCCCCTGCCAGGGAGTTCAGCCCCACATGGGAGTCTGTGACGGGGAGCAACACCCCATAAAGGGGTTCCTCACCCCATAAATGGGTTCCCCACCCCACAAAGGGGGTTTCCCAACCCAAGAAGGGGGTCCAGCACTGCACAAAGGGTGTTCATCCAACGTGCCATAAAGGTGCTTCCACGCCCCAGGAAGTTGGTTCCCCACTCCAGGAAGGGGGTCCAGCATCCCATAAAGGTAGTTCAGCACCCTATGAAGGGTGTTCCCCACCCTGGTTGTCTATCACCCATAACATGGCTGCACACCCCATAACATAGCTGTACACCCCATAACATAGCTGTACACCCCATAACTTGGTTGCACATCCCATAACAGGGTTGCACACCCCATAACAGGCTTACACACCCCATAACTTGGTTGCACATCCCATAACAGGGTTACACACCCCATAACAGGGTTGCACCCCCCATAACAGGGTTACACACCCCATAACTCGGTTGCACCCCCCATAACAGGGTTGCACCCCCCATAACAGGGTTGCACACCCCATAACTCAGTTGTACCCCCCATAACAGGGTTGCACCCCCCATAACTCGCTTGCACCCCCCATAACTCAGCTCCCCACCCCCAGGCCCAGCCCTTACCGCACGGACTTGCCCAGGATGTGCTTGTAGAAGGAGCGGGTGAAGTAGCACTCGAGCAGCCGGTTGTCGTAGACGGCCTTGGCCACGATCCTGCCCACGAACTTGAAGTAGCTCAGGTGGTTGGGGTTGCAGTGGGACGAGGGGTTGATGGTGTAGGTGACGCGGTCGCCGGGGGACGTGCGGAACAGGGCGTACATGGGGTTGAACATCTCCCGCGAGATGATCATGTACCACTCCCGCAGCAGCCCCCCCGCGTCCTGCCCCTCCTCGCCCTCGAACACGATGTACCTGCGGGGCAGGGGGGTTAGGGGGGAGCTGGGGGGGTTGGAGGGGTTCAGGGGGCAGCTCCCCCATGTCCTGCCCCTCCTCGCCCTCGAACACGATGTACCTGCGGGGCACAGCGGGCTCAGGGGGGCTGGGGAGGGGTTTGAGGGGGCTTGGGGGGGTTTGGAAGGGCTTGGAAGGGAATGGGGGGGTTTAGGGGGCAGCCCCCTCGTATCCTTCCCCTCCTCACCCTCGAACACAATGTACCTGTGGGGCAGGGGGGAACGGGGGGGGATTTGGGGGCACTGGGGGGTGCTGGGGGGACAGAGGGGTACTTTAGACTGGAGGAGGTTGGGGGAGATCGGGGGGGGTTAGGGGAGGTTTGGGGGGGCTGAGGGGGTGTTTGTGGGGCTGGAGGGGTGTTTTGGGGAGCTGGGGGTGTTTGAGGGGCTGGAGAAATGCTTGGGGGGGTCACGGGGCAGTTTGGGAGGGTTTGGGGGACTAGAAGGGTGTTCTGGGAGGGGGTGTCTGGGGGTGTTCAGGAGGCCAGAGGACTGTTTTCGGGGGGCTGTGGGGAGTTCTGGGGGGCCGGGGGTGGTTTCAGGGGCCCACGAGGGGTCTCGGGGGCCCGTTGGGGGTCCGGGGGGGGTCTCACAGGCGGTTCTTCATCTCCTCGGGGGTCTTGCGGTGCAGCTCCCGGTAGGAGTCCTCGAAGACGTGGTCGCGCCGCACGTGCACGGCCATGTCCTCCTTGCGCAGCCCCTCGTCCAGGCGCTCCAGCTCCTGACGGAAGTACCTGGGCGGGGCAGGGGGTCAGGGGGGCCTGGCAGCACCCCCAGAGCCCTGGGAGAACACCCCAGACCCCTGCACACACCCCAGGGTCCCCCCAAACTCCTTCTCAATACCCCAACCCCCTTCCCAGCACCCCAAACCCCCTCAGGCTCCCCCAAAGCTCCTGCTGCCGTCCCTCCTGGGCTCCTCCCAAACCCCTTCTTGACACCCCAAACGCCCTCCTACCACAAAGGCCCCCCAAATCCCTTCTCAGAGCCCCAGGTCCCCACTAAACACCCCCAGGTCCCGACTGAACACCCCCAGCGCCCTCCCCAACGCCTCAGCTCCCCCCAGACTCCTCCCCAGCCCCCTCCCCAACGCCTCAGCTCCCCCCAGACTCCTCCCCAGCCCCACTGACTTGCGCTTGACGTCGAAGTCGAGCACGCGGATGTAGTCGACGAGGACGGCGAAGGGGCCGTCGGCCAGGTGGGTCGTGGACTGGCGCAGGATCTGGTTCAGCACCGTCCGGTGGGTCTCTGGGGGGCACGGGGGGGGTTGGGGGGCACCCCAGAATGGGGGGACCCCCCTGCTGTGGGTGTGACCCCCCCGGGAGGGGTCATTTGACCCCCTGAACTCACTCCATGTCCCCCCACCCACCTTGGCACACACCCCCCCCAAATCCTGCCAGGGGGCCCTTGAGGAGCCCCCTGAGCCCCCCCAGAATCCCAACCCAAAACCCCTCCCCAAGCCCAAAGTGTCCTGCAGAGCCCCCCAAAATCTCCTTCCCAGAGACCCAGGATCTCCCCAGATGCTCTTCCAAAGCCCCAGGCTCCACCCTAAGCCCCCAAATCCCCTCCAAAATCCCCAGAGACCCCCAGTTCCAATCTCAAACCCCCAGACTCCCCGAAAGCCCCCCAAAATCCCTCTGTAAAGTCTTCAAGCTTCCCCCAAATCCCCCTCCAAAACCCTTTCCCAACACCTTGAATCCCCCCCTAAACTTCCTCCCAACACCCCAACCCCCCCCCCTCCAGCCTCCCAGACCCCCCAACCCCCCATTCCCATTCCCCCCATTGCCCCTCACCAGCCAAGTGCAGGAATTTCTGGGTGTCAGGGGGCAGGCTGGGCCCCCAAAACCCCCCCCCTCCCAACACCCCAACCCCCCCAAAACCCCCTCCTAACACCCCAAACTCCCCAAAAACTCCCTCCCAACACCCCAAATTGCCCCCAAAACCCCCTCCCAACACCCCAACCCCCCCAAAACCCCCTCCCAACACCCCCCCAACAACCCCCTCCCTAACACCCCAAACTCCCCAAAAACTCCCTCCCAACACCCCAAAACCCCCTCCCAACACCCCAAACCCCCTCAAACCCCCTCCTAACACCCCAAACTCCCCAAAAACTCCCTCCCAACACCCCAAATTGCCCCCAAAACCCCCTCCCAACACCCCAACCCCCCCAAAACCCCCTCCCAACACCCCAAAACCCCCTCCCAACACTCCAAAACCCCCTCCCAAACACCCCAAACCCCCCAAAAACCCCCTCCCAACACTCCAAAACCCCCTCCCAACACCCCAAACCCCCCCAAACCCCCTCCCAACACCCCAAACCCCCTCAAACCCCCTCCCAGCCCCATCCCCAGCCCCTCACCGGCGAAGCGCAGGAATTTCTGGGTGTCGGGGGGCAGGCTGGCCGAGATGTGCATGGCCGAGGGCTCCCGGGAGAAGAAGGGGTCGAGGGCCGAGGGGGTGGCGGGGGTCAGGGGGGCGGGGGACAGCGGGGGGGGCTCGTCCTTGATGTGGGACAGCTGGTTCTCCCGCGTGTCCCGCACCGGCGGGCGGCTCTCCCGCTCCGTGGCGTGGACCAGGAAAAAGGCCTCGACCGCCGGCTGGAGAACTGGGGGGAACGGGGGGGTCAGGGGGAAAGGGGACCCGAAACCGGAGGGAGGGAAATTCTTCCCCCAAAGCTGGAGGGGAGAGCCCAAAAATCAGGGGGAGAACCTGAAATGGGAGGGGACCCCTGAAATGGGGGGTGAGAACCCAAAACTGGGGGGAAAACCTGAAACTGGGGGGAGGAGGAGCCTGAAAATCGGGGGGAGAACCCAAAATAGGGGAGCCCCCCCTCACCGATCACCTGAAATGGGGGGGGGTGAAATGCAAAACTGGGGGGAAACCTGAAATTCGGGGGGGGACACGTGAAAGGGGGAGAATCCAAAACTTGGGGGGGGGAGGGCAACCCAAAGATGGGGGGGGGGCTTCCCCCTGTTGGGTTTAGGGACCTTCCAGGGTTTCAAGGCCCCCCTCTTGGTTTTGGGGCTCCCCATGGGTTTCAGGACCCTCCCTGGGTTCAGGGGCCCCCCTGGGTTTCAGGACCCCTCCTGGGTTTAGGGGCCCCCCTGGAGGATTTAGGGACCCCCCCTGGGTTTCAGGACCCCCCCGGGTTGGGGGGCCCCCCAGGGGTGCTGTACCCACCGAGCACGGCGTGCTGGTCGTGGGACTCCTCCAGCTCCTTCAGACACTCGCCCAGCATGTCCCAGAGCTCGTCCAGGCACAGCTGCTCACTCAGCAGGGGCAGCTCGGGGGGCCTCTCGTCCCTCTCCCCCCCCTGCGACCCCTCCGAGCCTGGGGGGACACACACACGGTCAGGACCCCCCCGTGCCCACTGACCCCGCCCCACACACCAGTACAGCCCAGTCTGGGCGAGAGTGGGATTGCCCCACACCGGGAGGGAGAGGGGTCACCACCCACCCTGGCACTGGGAGCAACTGGTGGGTGACTGGGATGGGGAGGGCGGGCTGGGCTGGGCTGGACTAGATTAGACTCTGTTGGACTGAGATGGACTGGTCTGGGCTGGGTTGGACTGAGTTGGGCTGGACTGGACTGGGTTGGACTGAGTTTAGACTGGGTTGGACTGAGTTTAGACTGGGTTGGACTGGTCTGGACTGGGTTGCACTGGTCTGGACTGGGTTGGACTGAGTTTAGACTGGTTTGGACTGGTCTGGACTGGGTTGGACTGGTCTGGACTGGGTTGGACTGGTCTGGACTGGGTTGGACTGGGTTTAGACTGGGCTGGACTGGTCTGGACTGGGTTGGACTGGGGTGCACTGGGGGTCTCACCCATGTCCTGGGGGGCCGGCGAGGGCTGGTCCACGTCCATGGGCGACTCATCGCGCCGGGGGACGGCGTCCGACTGTCCGGCCTCCGACTGGGGGGGACAGGGGCGGCTTTAGGGGGCCGGGACCCCCCGGGGGAACCCCCGGCCAGGGCGGGGGGCTGGGGGGTCCCTGGTGCTCAGGGGGTGGGAGCCGTGGGGGGAGGAGGGGGAGAAGCAGCAGGGGAGGGGGGGAGGAAGAGGAGGGGCGGGGAGGGTAGAAGAGGGGGAGGAAGGCTCAGTGGGGAGGGGGAGGATGAAGAGGGGGTGGAAGAGAGGAAGGAGAAGGGGATGAGGATGGAGGAGAGGAAGGGTGAGTGGGGAGCATGAGGAGTGGGTGGGAGGAGGAGGAGGAGGAGAAGGATGAGCAGAAGGAGGATGAGGAGAAGGGGGCAGGTTGAGGAGGAAGATGGAGGGAGTGGGAGGATGAGGAGGGGGCAGCACAAGGATGAAGAGGGGATGGGAGAAGGGAATGGCAGCATAAGGAAAGGGAGGATGAGGATGAGGGTGGGAGAGGATGAGAAGACGAGGATAAAGAGGGGGCAGGATGAGGCTGAGGAGGGCGTGGAAGGAGGGGGTGGGAGGCTGAGGAGGGAGCAGGCCAAGGAGGGGGTGCGAGGCGGAGGCTGGGGAGGGGCAGAGGCTGAGGAGGGGTGGAGGAAGGCAAGGCGGCCGTGCTAACCGTGTCTCCCCGCTGCCGCCTCCGGGCCCTCTGGCCCTCACGTACCATTTGTATGATGGCGTCGGCCTCGGCCTCCAGCTGCCGGACGGCGGCCTGGATGCTGCCGGCCGCCCCCAGGCCCCCGGCGCCTGCGGGGCACAGCGGGGTCAGGGCGGGCGGCGCGCGGGGGGCGCGGGGCGGGGGCCGGGGGGGTCCCTTACCCAGCCGGCCGGGGGGCTTGGCCTTGCGGTGCGCCCGGCGCGTGTCGTCCCGCAGCTGGATGATGACCTGCAGCACCCGCAGGAAGAAGCGCTGCGTGGACGTCTTGGAGGTGAGCACGGACATGGAGGGCAGCTGCAGCTCCCGCCCGCCCAGGGCGCGCTTCTGCGACGCCACGATCACCACGCTCTCCGCCGTGTCGAACCTGGGGGAACGGCGAGGACCAGAGTTACCGGCAGGGACGGGCACACGCCGGGCACGGGAGCTGGCACACGGCGGGCACGGGAGCTGGCACACGCCAGGCACGGGAGCTGCCAGCAGGGCCCACAGCGAACGGGGCACGGGGTTATCAGAAGCACCCGGAGCGAGCGGTGGGTGCAGGACCAGGGAAGGGCCCAGAGAACGCCAGGCACTCACCGGCTCTGCATCTTGCCCTTGAGTTTGGCGCTGGGCGGCTGCTCCTCGGGGAGCCCCTCGGGGGAGGGAGCCTCGAGCTGCGCCCGGCGCTGCTGCTCCAGGTTGTACTCACGGAGCTCGGCCAGCAGAGTCCCTGGGGGGGCAGGGGGGAGTGTTATGGGCTGGGACCCACCCTGGGACCCCTCCTCACCGACCTACGGATGCAGGCCCCCCCTCACCGATCTGGCAGCCCATGGCCCCCCCAGGCCCCCCCTCACCGATCTGGCAGCCCATGGCCCCCCCAGCCCCCCCTCACCGACCTGGCGACCCATGGCCCCCCCAGCCCCCCCTCACCGATCTGGCGGCACAGGGCCCCCCCCAGCTGCCGGGCCCCGCTGAGCAGCAGCCGCAGGACGGTGTCCCGGGTCCCCGCGTCCCCCCGCGAGAGCTGCAGCAGCACGTTGGCCGCGTCCTCCAGCCCCTCCTCCGAGCACGAGTGGGACGTCAGCACCTGGGACAGGGCACAGGGAGCGTTGGGGACAACTGGGGACACCAAGGACCACCCCCCTCCCCGATCCTGGCCCCTGTTACCTCCACGGAGAGCTGGAGCTGGGCCTCGGTCAGGCCTGTGGCCGCCAGCCGGGGGTCGGGACCCCCCTCAGGGACCTTGGCCGGGGACTTGGAGCTCTTGGCCGGGGCTGTGGACAGAGGGGACACGGGATTGGGGGTGGTGGCAGGGGAGGGGAGATGCCACCGAGGCCATTGGCAAATGGGGTCTCTCCTTCAGGGTGAGCCCAGTCCCTCCCTGTGCTCTCAACCACCCGGTGCCACCTCTGTCCCCACCTATATCCCCATTCCTGTCCCCATCCATGACCCCATCCCTATTTTCCCACCTCCATGTCCCCATCCTTGTGTCCTTGTCCCTACAACCTCATCCCCACCCCATTCCTATTTTCCCACTTCTGTGTCCCCATCCCTGTTCTCTCATCCCTGTGTCCCCACCCCTGTCTGTGTCCCCATCCATGTCCCCAACCACATCCCTGTACCCGTATCCGTGTCCTCTGTTCCCACATCCACGTCCTTCTGTCCCCATATCCATCCTCTTGTCCCCGTGTCTCCATTCCCACACATGTCCCCGTTGCCACATCTCCATCCTCCCCCATCCCTGTCCCCATGTCCCCACCCCTGTGCCCACCCCTGTCCCCCCACACTCACCCCCGGTGCCTCCAGTCCCCGCCGTGGCCGTGCCGGTGCCGCTGCCGTTGCCCCCCTGTGCCGGGGGGCTCCCGGGCGCCGTCGCCCCCCCCGAAGCCGCCGCAGCCCCCCCTGCGGGCGTGGCGGGCGCGGGGGCTCCGTTCTGGGGCGTGGCCCCCCCCTCGGCGGCCTTGCCCCCCTCGGGGAGGGCGATGGAGATGAGGGAGAGGAGGCGCAGCAGCTTCTCGGTGAGGAGGGGGCTGCGCCGGATCACGCCGTGGGACAACATGTTCATCAGCTGCCCCAGGGGCGACGCCTCCAGGCCCCCCCCCGCGGCCTCGGGCTCGGGGCCCCCCCCGCCGCCCCCCGCCCGCGCAGACCCCTTCCCCTTCCGGCTCACGTTCATGTTGTCCAACTTCACCAGCAGGTCCCAAAAATCGGTGGAGAGGCTGCCGGAGGGCGGGGGAGGGGCGGGGGAGGGCGTGCCGGAGGGGGGGGGAGGGGGCGGGGGCGCCGGCGGGGTCTGGGGGGGCGGGGGGGGGCAAGGGCTGCCCCCCGATTTTGGGGGGCCGCGGTCACGTTCCGGGTCGGTCGTCGCCGGGTCTCGGCCTCGTTGTTGGGTGAAGTGGCTGGGGAAGACCTGGGGGGGGCGGGGGGTGTTAGTGGGGTGCTGGTGACACCCCAGAGGTTGTGGGACCCCCAGACACCACCAGCACCCCCCTCAGTCCCACCTCCCCTCCCACAGCCACCCACAGGCCCCACAGGGGTTTTCGGGACCCCCCCAGGTGATGTTCCCTGAGCCACTGTGACCCCCAATTTGGGGGAGTTCCCCAGGTGTGCCCCCCACAAGCACTCCCAGATATGGGGGGCTTCCAGCTCCCCTATGAGGTGTCCCAGAGCCCCCCCAGTTTCCTTCAGCACTCCTCAAAGCCCCCCCAGTCCCACTGAGGAGACCCCAACCACCCCCTAAAATGCCCTGGTACCGCCCAAATGTCCCAGTGCTCCCCAGAACCACCAATGAACCCCAGAAACCCAATGACGTGATCCAGTGTCCCGCAATTTCCCCCCGCAGTTCCACGGAGGAGCCCCAAACCCCCCCTTACGTGTCTCGGTAACCCCCAAAACCTGCCCCGCTGGCCTCCAAAATCCCCCCCGGCCCTCCCAGTTCCACCGAGGAGCCCCAGACCACCCCCCAACGCGCTCCCAGTGCCCCCAAGGCCCCCCCTCACCTTGGCCAGCTGGATGAGGGTGTCGAGGACGTGCCGGCACACGACGGGGGCGGCCTGGGGGTGGATGTGGACGGCGGAGCCGGCGGCCGCCGCGTGTTTCTCCGTGTGCTTGCGGCCCGGCACCCTCTGGATCTGGAAGATGTTGGTGCGGCAGCCCAGGGCCGCGTCCATGGACACGGAGAGCCAGGAGAGCTGCCCGGAGCTGCGCGACTCCACGCGGTGCAGCAGGTCCAGCCCGCGCGGCTCCGCGGCCGAGCCGGGGGTCCCGCGGGCGCCGCGGCTGCGCGGCCGCTCCTCGGCGCCGGGGCCCGGCCCGGGGGGCGCGCGGGGGGTCTCGAGGCACAGCTCGCTCTCGCTGCTGCGCTGCAGGATGGACAGCAGGCTGCGCACCACCCAGCCCCGCGTGGGCGCGTGGTAGCACAGGTTGCGCAGCACCCGGTGCAGGCGGCTCGTGTTCAGCTTGGGCTCGTCCACGAAGAGCAGCACCAGGAGGCACGACAGGGCCTCGTGGTCCAGGAGCAGCCGCCCGCGCAGCCGGAGCAGGCTGTCCACGCTGCTGCCCGCCGGCCTGGGGAGCACGAGGTTAACACCCCAAAACTGCCCCCAAACCACCCTCCAAACTGCCCTGTCCACGCTGCTGCCCGCCGGCCTGGGGAGCACGAGGTTAACACCCCAAAACTGCCCCCAAACCACCCTCCAAACTGCCCTGCCCGCCAGCCTGGGGGGCGTGAGGCTAACGCCCCGAAACAGCCCCCAAACTGACCCCCAAACTGCCTCCAGACAGCCCTGTCCACGCTGCTGCCCGCTGGCCTGTGGGGATGGAGATTTAACACCCCAAAACTGCTCCCAAACCGCCCTCCAAACTGCCCCCAAACCTCCCTCCAAACTGCCCTGTCCATGCTGCCCCCCACCAGCCTGGGGGGTATGAGGTTAACACACCAAAACTGCCCCCAAACCCCCCTCCAAACCACCCTGTCCCTGCTGCCGCCCACCAGCCTGGGGGGTTACAACCCAGAACTGACCCAGACAGACCCCCGACCCGACCCCAAACAGACCCACAAACCAGCACCCAAACATCCCTCAAAGCGACCCCCAAGCCCCCGCACTCACCTGCTGTGGGTGCCGGTGCCCCCCATGTGGAAGGTGCCCCCGCGCTGCACCGCGAGCCGCGTGTACTGAACCCCCCGGTTCCCGCTGAGCCGGCTCGTGAACGCTGAGGGGACACAGGGACGTGTCACACACCGGGGACAGGGAATGTGTCACACACCGGGGACAGGGAATGTGTCACACACCGGGGACACAGGGACGTGTCACACACCGGGGACAGGGAACGTGTCACACACCGGGGACAGGGGACATGTCACACACCGGGGACAGGGAATGTGTCACACACCGGGGACAGGGAATGTGTCACACACCGGGGACAGGGAATGTGTCACACACCGGGGACAGGGAATGTGTCACACACCGGGGACACAAAGACGTGTCACACACCGGGGACAGGGAATGTGTCACACACCGGGGACAGGGAATGTGTCACACACCGGGGACAGGGAATGTGTCACACACCGGGAACAGGGAATGTGTCACACACCGGGGACAGGGAATGTGTCACACACCGGGGACAGGGAATGTGTCACACACCGGGGACAGGGAACGTGTCACACACCGGGGACAGGGAATGTGTCACACAACGGGGACAGGGAATGTGTCACACACCGGGGACAGGGAATGTGTCACACACCAGGGACAGGGAATGTGTCACACACCGGGGACAGGGAACGTGTCACACACGGGGGACAGGGAATGTGTCACACACCGGGGACAGGGGACATGACACACACCGGGGACAGGGAACGTGTCACACACCGGGGACAGGGAATGTGTCACACACCGGGGACAGGGAACGTGTCACACACGGGGGACAGGGAACGTGTCATATACCGAGGACGTGTCGCACACAGGGGACAGGGGACGTGTCACACACCAGGGACGTGTCACACGTGGAGGGGACAGGGTCTCCACACAAATCAGGAGGATAAGGGATGGGGAAAGAAAAAAGGGTGGAAAACGTGAGGAAAAAGGCAGGAAACACGAGGGGGAAAAAGGTGGGAAATGTGAGGGGAGAAAAAGGTAAAAAACGTAAAGGGAAGAAAGGGGGAGAAAAGGGAGAGGAAAAAGGACAAGAAACATGAGGGGGAAAAAGGGCAGGAAATGTGAAGAGAAAATGGGTGGGAAAAGGGAGACCAAAAATGGCAGGAAAACAGAGTAGAAAAAAGGGTGGGAAATGTGAGGGGAAAAGAGCAGGAAAAGGAAGGCTGTGGGGAGAGGGGGGGCAGTGGGGCAGACACTGGGGGCACTCGTGAGGTCACAATGGCGTAGGAAGGAATGGGGGGAGTGATGGGTGGGATGGGGGGGATTGGGGGCAGAGGGAGTTGGCAGGGGGCAAAGAGGACTGGGTGGGTGTGGAGGGAATGGGAAGCAGAAGGAACTGGGGGCAGAGGGACCAGGGAGGGCAGAGAGAATATGAGGGGCAGAGAAAGAAGGGGGCAGAGGGAGCTGGCGGGGGCAGCGGGAACTGGGGGCAGAGGGAACTGGGGGCTGAGAGAATGGGGAGACAGAGGGAATTGGGAGACGGAAGGAACTGAAGGGACACACAAGGAATTGAGGGGATGCAGAGGAAATGGGGGCCAGAGAGAACTGGGGTGGGGACAGATGGAATCGGGGCGGGGCAGAGTCAGGGAGATGCAGAGGGAACTGGGGGGCACACGGGAGGTCCTGGGGTCCCTCACCGGGGCTGCGCAGGATGGCCGAGAGCGCCGAGGTGCTGGAGTGGCCGAAGAGCCGCTCGTGCATGAGCTGCCGCTGCCGCGCCTCCTGCTCGCGCCGCAGCGCCTGCGCCTCGGCCGCGATGTCCGGCGGCATCACCGCCAGCACCGAGTCCTCCATGTCCTCCAGCACCGAGCGCCGCAGCTCCGACGGCAGCGTCTGGATGAACGTCACCGGGTCCATCGGCGCGTCCGAGCCCGTGGCCTGCGCCAGCTCCCGCCGCTGCTGCTCCGCCCGCTGCTGCGCCAGCACCTGAGGGACAGGAGAGGGTGGGACACGCCCGGGGGGGACACACACCCGGGGGGGGGACACAGCCATAAGGGGAACATCCCTGAGAGACCATACCTGCTTTTGGACAAGCCCCTCCCCCCAAACCCCCCCCCACCTCACAGGAGAAACCTCCCCCAAACTCCACCCATAGAGGCCACACCCCCAAAAAGACCCCACCCACATTTACTCCACCCCACATAAGCCCCACCCCAACACCTGTCACACCCCTGTGGCCCCACCCCCGGTCAAGCTCCACCCCAGGAAAGCCCACACCCCTTTGGCCACACCCCCCAACCACATCCTCCTTTAGCCCCACCCCCCACCCCACCTCCCAGACCACACCCACCCAAACCCCACCCCACAACCCCACCCTCCTTTAGCCCCACCCACCTCCTCCTGGATGGCCGGAGGCAGCGCTGCCAGGAACTCGGGGCTGACCTCGGTCAGGCCGGGATTGGCCACCACGGGCGGGGCGGGGCTGGCGCTGGGCGGGGCCCGGGCAGGGGGGCGGATCCCCAGCTGGTTCTGCAGCACCTCCCGCCGGATGTCGTCGGGAAGGGCTGCCAGGAACGAGGGGTCCACGCCCTCCGGGAGGCTGATCCCTGGGGACACACACACACGTCGGGGACATCCCTGGGACCACCCAGGGACACCCCCCAAACCCCCCAGGACGCCCAGGAACGAGGGGTCCACGCCCTCCAGGAGGGTGATCTCGGGGGGGGACATACTGGGGACACCCCTGGGGTGCCCCCAGGGACACTGGTCAGGAGGGTGACAAGGAGGGGCAGGGGATACCAGGGGGGATGAGGAGAGAACGGGGAGGATGGGGGGGTGTGGGGGGTGCCACGGACCAGCCAGGGGGTGACGGGTGGGTACAGGGAGGAACGGGACCGTGATTGGGGGTGGGACAGGATGGGGACAGGGGGACACAGGGGGGCTCAGGGGGTCCCACTGACCAGCCAGCGGATCCTCCTCCTCGCTGCTGGTGGACGGCAGCGGCTCCTCCAGGATCCCCCGCGAGTCGGCCCCCGAAATGGCCCCGGCAGAGTCCCGGGTGGACGAGCTCTCCGAGGACGAGGCAGGAGGAGAGCTGGGGGAGGTCACGGGGGGGGAATGTCAGTGGTGGGGAGGGGGGAACCCCCAAACCCCCGACCCCCCCATTTCCCACTGATAGCGACGGCTCTCACCTATCGTCGGGCGGCTGAGCGGCATCGGGGGGGGCGGGTGGGGGTCCCTGGGGGGTCCCGGGTGGGTTTTGGGGGGCTGTGGGAGGGGGGGGAGCCCCCCCTGACTCTTCCAAGGTGCAGGAGGCCAAGCTCGAGGTGTCCATGGGGGATCCCTCCAGTTGGCTGCTCACGGCCGTCAGCGCGTCCGAGTCCTCGGCCCGCTCCGGGGACAGCGAGGCTGGGAGGGGGGACAGACGGACATGGAGCCCCCCCAGGTTCAGGGAGACACCCCCAGACCCGGGGAGACCTCTCTGGACTGAGAAACCCCCTAAAAACGACTGGATCCCCCCCAAAATCCCAAGGACTCACTGATGGTGGGGGCGGGCGACAGCTCCATCTGAGTGGCCTCGGCATCTTGGGGGGGTCGTCCTGGCCCCCCCTCCTCGTGCTCGGGGGGTTGTGGGGGGCGAGCGGGAATTTGGGGGGCTCCCGGAGGGGGGTCTGGGGGGGTCGGCGTCGGTTCCAGCATCACCAGGGTCCGGTGGGGACCGGGAGGGGGGGTCTCTCCCGTCGTCCCGCTGTGCTCTGGGGTGAGGGGATGGGGGGGATACACGCAGGGATCAACTTTGGGGGCGGGGCCAGGAATGTGGGAGGCCCCCCCAAACCCACCCCCTTTGCCCATTTTAGGGGAATGCCAGGCATTTGGCTGCACCCTAAGACGAGGGGGAGCCCCATGGAGTTTGGGGGGGTCCCTGCCACCCCCCATAGTTAGTTCCCCTCTGAGCCACACCACACTACCCAAACGCCCTAAACCCCCCCAGAATCTCAAACTCCCCCAAAAAACCCCAACCCACCTAAACCCCCTCGACCACCCCAACCCCCTCCCAAAAACCCAATTCCCCATAACCCCCTCGACCACCCCAACCCCCTCCCAAAAACCCAATTCCCCATAACCCACTCGACCACCCCAAAACCCCCAAACCCCCTACAAATCCCTTTAACCCTCCCCAAAACCCCCCTTCCCCATTTTATCCCACCACACACATTCCCCCCACCCTAAGCCCACCCCCCTCAATCTGTCTCTAACCAGCCCCCCGGCGTTCTGAGGGGGGGGGGCCACTGCCGCCCCTCCCCCCGGTGCTGCAGCCCCCCGGGACCCCCCGGGACCCCCCGGGCCCCCCGGCTGCGGCGGCGCGCGCCCCGCGAGGAAGACAGTAGAATGTATAGTTATCTCCAGACGGGGGTGTGACCCTCCAACTATACAATCTACTACCTCAGCCCGCGGGGTGCCAGCTCCAGGGGGGCATGGGGGGGCTTTGGGGGCGTCCGGGCACGGCGGGGCCTGGGGGAGACCCCCGGGGGAGGGGGAGGCAGGGAGGGGGGTTTACCTGGGGGGGTGACGTCGGCCGAGGGGGTGCCGGCCTTGGACGCCGCGTCCTGCGGGAGAGGGCACGGTGATGGTGGCGGGGGGTGAAAAGGACCCCCCCCCGGGATTCTGGGGGAATTTAGGGGCGTTTGGGGGTCCCTCACCTGGGCGTCGGGCCCCTCCTTGTCCTCGGGGCCCCTCTCGGCCCCCTTGGCCTCGTCCTCGGCCGCCTGGCGCCGGCGCTTCTCCCGCCGCTCGTCCAGCTCCTCGTCCCGCAGGGCCTCGAGCCGGGCCAGGATGGGCACCTTCACCACTGCGGGGAAACGGGGGTCAGGGGGCACCTTCACCACTGGGGGGGCACAGGGACCCCCAGGATGGGCACCTTCACCACTGGGGGGGCACAGAGACCCCCAGGATGGGCACCTTCACCACTGGGGGGGCACAGGGGGGATCAGGAGGCTCGGGGGCTTGGGGGTCTCACCCAACACGCAGTCGTGCTGGGAGGGGTGACGGTGGTCTGAGCGGATTTGGGGGATGGGTTTGGGGGTCCCAAGGGGTGCATTTGGGGGTCCCAGGGGCTCTCACCAGACACGCAGTCGTGCATGCTCTCAGCATCCAGGACCTTGCACTCCTCGGTCCAGCGGGTCAGGGCCGTGGGGATGCTGGACAGGGTCCCTGGGGGAGGGCAGGGTGAGCCCCCCGGCTCGGCAGGACATGTCCCCCCCCCCGGTAAAACCACTCCCCCAGCCCGTCTCACCCACCCCAGAGCTTCTTCCTCCCTCCAGGCCCCTCCTCCTCCTCCCTGCAGCCCAGCCCATCCTCTCCATCCCCACAGCCCCTTGGCCACTGTCTGTATGTCTGTCTGGGTGGGGGTGGCCCTGTGGTGTCCCTCCCACGTACCTGTCCCCCACTCGCCTGCCTGTCCCCCCATGTCCTCCCCCATGTCCCTGTCCCCCCATCCCCCTGTGTCCCTGTTCCTGGGTGTCCCCCCATGTCCCTGTCCCAGAGTGCCCCCCTGTGTCCCTGTCCCCCACTCGCCTGCCTGGCTGCTGACCCTGCCCTGCCCATGTCCCTGTCCCAGGGTGTCCCCCCCATGTCCCTGTCCCCCCATCCCCCCCTGTCCCTGTCCCCCCGTCCCCCCGTGTCCCTGTCCCCCACTCGCCTGCCTGGCTGCCGGCGCTGCCCTGCTCATGGAAGAAGTCGTCGAGCAGCTCGTCGTCGGAGCGGGCGATGATGTGAACGTCCTCGTTGCCCACGAGCAGCCGGGCCCGGCCCCGGCTCTGCAGGGGGAGGCTGCTGCTCAGCTGCAGGATGTCTGCGGCCGCCGAGGGGCCCAACAGCCTGGGGGGGAACAGGGGGGGTTATGGGGGTGTCAGACCCCGGGAGGGGCTGTGGGACCCTCAGCTGCTGCTCAGCTGCAGGATGTCTGTGGCCCAACAGCCTGGGGGTGAACAGGGGGGGTATCAGGGTTATGGGGGGCTCCAGGGGGTGTCAGACCCCGGGGGGAGTTCAAGCTGTTCCTGGGGGTCCACACTCACCCCTGCAGGATGGGGGGGGGCAGTCTGGGATGGGGATGGAGGTTGGGTGTTCCTGGGGGAGGGTCAGGCTGTCCGGGGGGGTATTTGGGGTCCACACTCACCACTGCAGGATGGGGGGGATTGGGATGGGGGTTGGGGGTTCAGGCTCTTCAGGGAGGTGTTTGGGGATCCCAGGGGGGTGTTTGGGGATCCCAGGGGGGTTCAGGTTGTTTCTGGGGGGTGTTTGGGGTCCCAGGGGGGTTCAGGCTGTTTCTGGGGGGTGTTTGGGGATCCCAGGGGGGTTCAGGCTGTTTCTGGGGGGTGTTTGGGGATCCCAGGGGGGTGTTTGGGGATCCCGGGGGGGTTCAGGTTGTTTCTGGGGGGTGTTTGGGGATCTCAGGGGGGTTCAGGTTGTTTCTGGGGGGTGTTTGGGGATCCCAGGGGGGTTCAGGTTGTTTCTGGGGGGTGTTTGGGGATCCCAGGGGGGTGTTTGGGGTCCCAGGGGGGGTTCAGGCTGTTTCTGGGGGTCCCACTCGATCCCACTCACCGCTGCAGGATGAGGGGGGGGTTGGGCTGCCGAGCCCCCGGGTAGTGCACGTGGATGGTGTGGCCGGCGTTGGCCGTCAGCTGCCGCAGGGTGCGCTGGCTCCGGCCCAGCCCCTGGGCCAGGCGGGTGCCCCCCGCGCCGCCCCCCAGCCCCAGCCCCCCGTGCTCCGCGTGCCGCACCAGCAGCGGGTGGCTGGCCGGGATGTTCCCGGGGGACGGGGGGATGTCGGCTGGAAAAGGAGGGAAACGGGGGGTTGGGGGGGGTAAATCCGTCCTGAGCCCCCCAACAAGGATGTGGCCCCCCCAAAGCACCTCACGGCCTCCCCCCAGGACCCCCGTGTCCCCCCCAGACCTACTGCAGGCCCCCTGAACTGCCCCTGTGGTCCCCCCAGACCCCTCCAACCGCTGCTGTGGCCCCCTCAAACCCACATGAGCTCTCCAGACTCCCATGTTCCCCCCCAGATCCCTGTGCCCCCCCCAAACCACCCCCATGATCCCCCCCAGAGCGATGCTGTGGCCCCAGGGCCGTACTGGGGCTGGAGAACATGTTGTCGAACTCGATGATCAGGTCGTCGTCGCGGTCGAAGCGCTCGAAGCGCACGAGGGGCGACGCGTTCATGTCGGGATAGTCCTCGTCCAGCTCCATCTCCGAGCCATCGTCGTCATCCTCCTCCTCCTCCCCCTCCTCGCCCTCCTCATCGTCCTGGGGGGAGGGGGGAAGGTCAGCAGGGACCCCCAAACCAGGAACGGGGCACCCCGGCCCAAAAGAGGGGAACCCCAACCTGGAATGGGGGAACTTTGCCCCAAAATAGCAACCCTGGATCCAAAATGGGGGCACTCCAACCCTAAATGCCCCCCCAAATCCGAAACAGGGGTACCCTGACCCAAAATCGGGTACCCTGACCCCAAATGACTGACACCTCCGACCCAAAACACAGGTCCAGTGGGAACCCAGGTGTGTGAGAGGGGTCCCAGGTGTGTGAGGGAGGTGTCAGGTGTACAGTGGTGTCCCAGGTGTCCCTGTCTCACCTGATCATCCTCATCCTCTTCCTCTTCCTCCTCTTCCTCGTCCTGGCTGTCATCCTCGTCCTCATTGCTGCCACTGCTGTCCTCCTCCTGCGTGTGCTCCTCCTCGTCCTCAGGGTCCAGGATGTTCATGGAGTCTTTGGGAGGGGGCAGAGGGGGGCGAGTCACACCCTGGCACCTCATAAACCCCCCTGAACCCCCAAATTCGGGGTGGGGGTCCCACCTTCCCGGTTGGCCTGGAGGGTGGAGGCCTGGCTGAGGTTGGAGGGGGCCTCGTCCATCAGAACGTCCTCCTGTGACTCATCCTCTCCTGAGCGGCTCACTGGGGGGGGTCACATCATCAGGGGGGTCCCCTGATGTCTGGGGGGTCCCTGGTGCCCAGGACACCCCGGGTTGGGGGCAGGGGGTCCCTCACCGATGATGGTGCTGTTCCCGTCGGCGCCGTCCCGCTCCAGCAGCTCGTCAATGAGATCCTCCAGCTCGTTCTCCACCTTGGGGGGGCACACGGGGGGTGTGGGGGGTGCTGGGGGGGTGTTGGGGGTACGGGGGGGGCCTGGGGGGGGCCTGACCTGCATCTCCTGGGTGCTGAGCCCCTCGGGCTGCCCGGCCAGGACCACCGTGTCCCCCTCGGCCTCCCCGTCCATGTCCCCGTCGGCCGCCTCCGCCTGCGCCGCCTCCGCGTCCTCCTCGGGGGGCTCGGGGTCCCCGGGGTCCCCTGGGGGGGCACAGGGCAGGGGGGGTCAGAGGGGAGCTCAGGGGGGTCAGGGGGTGGGGTCATGAGGGGGGGGAGGGTTGGTAAAGGAAGGGTAGGAGATGGGGGGGAAAGGGGGAATTGGGGGCCCAGGGGAGATACTGGGGAGGGGGCACCAGAGATGGGGGGCTGGGGAGAGGTGGGGGCAGGAGAGACTTGGGGGGGAACAAGAGAAAGGGGTGTCACAGAGGAGATGTGGGGGGACACAGGGGAGATGGGGAGGACAGGTGGAAAATGGGAGATGTGGGACGACCTGGAGTGCTGAGGGTGACCCGGGGGGGCCATGGGGTGACCCGGGGGGGCCATGGGGTGACCCGGGGGCGCCATGGGGTGACCCGGGGGCGCCATGGGGTGACACAAGGGGGGCATGGGGTGACACAGGGGGGCCATGGGGTGACACAAGGGGGGCATGGGGTGACACAGGGGGCCATGGGGTGACACAAGGGGGGCATGGGGTGACACGGGGGGGCTGTGTGGGGCCATGGGGTGACACAGGGTGCCCCAGGGTGACACGGGGGGGCCGTGTGGGGGTACCTCCATCAGGAGGTGCAGCCCCCGCCTCACGAGCCCCCCCGGCGCCCTCGGCCTTGCTCTTGCTGGAGGAGCCCTTGGCCCCGAAGAGGCCGCTGGGCTGGTTCACGATCCGTGACAGCGTCTCCAGGGGCTTCAGCGCCGCGTTCACCGTGTTCGCCATGTTGGGGCTGGGGAGGGGGCACGGGCTGGGACCCCGGCCAAGGGGTGACCCCCCGGCCCCCAGAGACCACCACGGCTCCCCCAAAACCCAGAGACCACCACAGCTCCCTGGACACCCCTGAGGCTCCCCAAAATCTACCGCAGATCCCAAAAACCCAAACAGCTGCCCAAGATTCCCCACAGACCCTCAAGAGCCACCAGACCCCCAAGGCCCCTTTAAGACCCACCAAACCCCCTTTAAGGCACCCTAAAAACCCCTCAAGACCCACCATGATCTCTCAAGACCTTCCCCAAGACACCCTGGTAGCCCTCAAGACCCCCCAAAAGCCCTTCAAGACCCCCCAAGACCCCGTTGAAGCCCCCCCAAGACCCCGTTGAAGCCCCCCCAGCGTGCCGGGGGTCCCACCTGGACAGGTCGAGGCTGTGGGGCACCCGGGCCAGGTCGTTGACCAGCCCCTTCTTGAGGAAGAGCCGGATGATGTTGTTCATGCCGTTGTGGGGCGGCTTGGCCGCGCTGCTGTAGAAGCTCGAGGTGGACGGGCACGACTCCATGATGGTGCTGATGATGCACATGACGGCCTGGAGCCTGTGGGGACACGGGGACAGGGGTCACATGATGGGAGGGACACAGGATTACACCATGGGGACATGGGGTCACGCCATGGGGACATGGGGTCATACCACAGGGACATGAGGTCACATCACAAGGACAAAGGCTCACACCATGGGGACATGGGGTCACACCACAGGGACATGGGGTCACACCACGGGGACATGGGGTCACACCACAGGGACATGGGGTCACACCACGGGGACATGGGGTCACACCACAGGGACATGGGGTCACACCACGGGGACATGGGGTCACACCACGGGGACATGGGGTCACATGAGGGGGACACAGGGTCACACCATGGGGACATGGGGTCACATTGTGGGGGGGGTCTTCAAAGGCGCCCCTGTCCCCATGGTGTCCCTGAGGTGTCCCCATGGTGTTTATGGGGTGTCCCTGAAGTGTCTCACACTGTCCCCAAGTTGTCCCGTTGCTGTTCCCGTGCTGTCCCCACACTGTCCCCATGGTGCCTCTGGGGTGTCCCCATGGTGTTTATGGGGTGTCCCCAGGGTGTCCCTGAAGTGTCCCCAAGCTGTCCCGTTGCTGTTCCCGTGCTGTCCCCACATTGTCCCCTCAGTGTCCCCACCTTGTCCCTGTGCTCTCCCGCCACTGTCCGTGTGCTGTTCCCAGGGTGTCCCCACACTGTCCCTGTGTTGTCCCCTCCCCGTCCCCCTCTGCCCCCGTACCTGGCGTGTTTCTCGGTGCTCTCGGCCATGGCCAGGGCCCGGCCCAGGGCGGCCTTCACCTCGTTCACCAGGGCCACCTGGGCGTCGGTGCCACTGCCCGCGGCCGCCAGGCTGGCCAGGAACAGCCGCGCCAGCGCCGGCGTGTCCTTGTCCTCCGCGTTCTGCTGGTGCGGCAGCAGGTGGTCCAGGACGAAGGCCAGGACACTGCAGTCCTGTGGGGACAGGGGGGTCACCAGGGGGCACAGGGGGGTCACTGGGGGGCACAGGGGGTTCACTGGGCGGACACAGGGGGTCCAGGACAAAGGCCAGGACACTGCAGTCCTGTGGGGACAGGGGGGTCACCAGGGGGCACAGGGGGGTCACTGGGGGGCACAGGGAGGTCACTGGGGGGCACAGGGGGTCCAGGACGAAGGCCAGGACACTGCAGTCCTGTGGGGACAGGGGGGGTCACTGGGGGGCACAGGGAGGTCACTGGGGGGCACAGGGGGTCCAGGACGAAGGCCAGGACACTGCAGTCCTGTGGGGACAGGGGGGTCACCAGGGGGCACGGGGGGTCACTGGGGGGCACAGGGAGACCCAGAGTGGGGGGACAATGGGGAGCAGAGGGAGGTCACTGGGGGGACAAAGGAGGACCCGGCCTGGGGGGGCACCTGGGAGGACAACGGGGGTCACAGGGGGATGCAGCGTGGGGGGACAGGACCCCCCACCATGGGTAGGGAGGGGGAACTGTCACAGTTGGGGGTCCCAACTGTAGCTGCAGTTGATGATGCCCGTGTAGGTGACCTGCCAACCCTCAGGGTGACCCCCTGACCCTTGGGGTGACCGCCCCATGTCCTGTGCCCCCCTCACCTCCTTGACGAGCTCGGACTGCCCCACGCTGTGGCTGCAGTTGGCGATCAGGGTGGCGATGCCCACGTGGGGTAACCCACAGATGACCCCTTATGTGACTCCCACACCCCACAAATGACCCCCCCCAGCCCTGTGCCCCCCTCACCTCCTTGATGAGCTCGGACTGCCCCACGCTGTAGCTGTAGTTGGCGATCAGGGCGGCGATGCCCACGTAGGACCTCACCAGCTCCGCCAGCAGCCGCAGGATGGTCGAGGTCGGCATGAGGGGCTTCGAGCCCCGCGCCCGCCCCCGCTCCTCGCGCTCCCCCTCCTTCTCCTTGCGGCCCTCCCGGCCCTCCTCGGGGCTGGACGCTGGGGGGCACGGGGGGCAGCGTTAGGGGGGCAGGGGGGGACATGGGGGGTAAAGAGCGGGCACTGTTGGGTGGGTGCAGGGGGGCACAGTTGGGGGACATCATTGGGGGGCGGGGAGGGCAGCAGAGGGATGGTGAAAGTCAAATCTGTGTAGGGGACAGTGGGGGGCTCAGGGATGTGGGGGCGATGTTGGGGGGCTCAGGGATGTGGGGGGGATGT